CTCGACTAGATCTGATCGGGAGGCATCACTTCGGTTCACGTCGGCAGCAGGCTCCTCCTCCTTCTCGTCTGTCAGGTCTTGGCGCCCTTCGTCATCGTGGATGGGTTGCTGGGACTTGTCTTGGACGACCACCTGATCTGCAGTCCCATGGCTGGCACTCGGTGGATTCGCGGAGATGGCGCCGTCAACCTCCACTGTGTCAACCTCCACTGAAATTGATGGAACGTCGAGCTTGGGAGATGTGTCCGACGATTCTGCGTCCTGAGCAGCCACAGCACCGTCGGCAGCGTCGGTGTCCTCTGGCTTCGAAGCCGACTGATCTTGACGTTCATCGTCTGGCACAGAGGCCAGAGCTTCCGTGAGAAGCGGGTCGATTTGCTCAACAGCTTGGATTGCCGCAGGAGACGCCTGCTCCACGGCGTTCTGGGCTTGAGATTCGATCGTTTCGATACTTGCCTGCAGCTGGGAGGCGGTAACGAAGCCAGGCAAAGCTTGTGCCCCTTGCAGCGCGCGGAAAGCCGAGCTGACCGACGAGAACTGGGGCGGATGCGGAGACGAGATGTCCTCGCGGGAAGACTGCTGGTTGTCGAGATCTGACCAGCGCAGATCCTCGTCAACCTCTTCCGGCTCGACTTCACTTTCTGGCACGCCATCGCTGTCTGGCTCGGCCAGATAGGTGTCAAAGAGACGCCCATCGCCTTCGGTTGGAGATGCGCGGTCCTGCATAATGATGTCTGCTGCGATCTGATCGTCAGGTTGAATGACTTCTGACGAGAGTATCTTAAGCTCAGGCTCTGCATGGTGCTGGACTTGAGCTCCTTGATGGGCGTCCTGGCTGGAATCCAGAAGCTGCGAGTGGTGATGAGTGGAGCTCTCGCCGTCGATCTCGTCATCGTGAACGAGCGCATGAGAGCCCGAGTCGCTGCCTGCGTCAGAATCGTCGGAACGCTCGGAAGGGACCTCGTCGAGAAGTTGATCTTGCGAGCCGAGGCTGTAATCTTGCGCCTCAACCGTCTCTTGACTGTCTACCTGCTCATCCTCGTCAGAGTCGCCTTCATCGCTGGACTGACTACCCTCGTCCGAGTCGGAGAGCACGATAGGTTCGTCGGCATCGCCAGCTGGCCCATCAAAGACCGAGTCCTGCGGACTCGCATTAGCATACTGGTCTCGAAGGGTGGATGGATCTTCATCGTCCATGTCCTCGTCGTCGTCAAGCTCGTCTGAGGCAGCATCAGCATCGGATGCTTCAGATTCGAATTCCTCGTCCAGTCTGGCATCCTCCTCGAACGTGTATTGAACGCTGTCCTCCGCATCGTCTTTTGGCGCAGCGAGGTCGAAGGCCGCGGGCGTTTGGGCGGTTTGAGCTGGGACGATTGTGAATGTGCCGTTGACGATGGCGATCTGGTCCATGGGCTGTGGAGCTGAAGATGTCTGGCTGACTTGCTGGATCTGGGTCGGCACGGCTGATGCGTTGTCAGTGTCAGCTGCGTCAGCTGCGTCAGCTGCGTCAGCTGCGTCAGCTTCCGAGCCGGACTCTGACGAAG